TCTCTCTCTCTCCCCGCCCCCTCCCTTGCAAACACTGGACTCACTTACACCCTCAGTTTTCATCCCTATCACCGAACCACCACATGCTCTCTCTCTCTCTCTCTCTCTCTCTCTCTCTCTCTCTCTCTCTCTCTCTCTCTCTCTCACACACATCTCTCGCACACACACCACACCCTCACACACATCTTTCTGTCACACACATACGTCTATCTCACACACACCTCCCTCTCACACACACAGCTCTCTCTCTCACATACACACACACGGAGACACGCGCATAAGACATACATCTCTCCCACGCACACACATACATCTCTCGCACACACACACACACACACCACCCTCACACACATCTTTCTCTGACAAACATACGTCTATCTCACACACTGACCTCCCTCTCAGACACACAGCTCTCTCTCAGACACTCGACACTTCTCACACCTCTCACACTCTGATCTCTGACAGACATCTCTCACACACCGCTCTCATCTCTCACCTCTCTCTCTCTCTCTCTCTCTCTCTCTCTCGCATCCCCTCCGTCAGCAGGGTGCATGAAATCCAACTCTCCTGACACATCTCCTCGTTGCTTCTTTTTATACTTCAGCCAAACGGCGATTAGCCCTTCAGCACCCATTACTCCTCACTCCTGCTGTCAGTGATATCACATTTGGAAACACTTCCCAACGGCCCCCCGTTGACGTCGAGTACGAAAACTCCATTCTCTCTTCTTCTCATCGTCAGCCCTTGCAGTCCCTGAAGACTCTGGTAGCCTATTAACACTCCCCCTAAAGAGAAAAGACTATTACACCGTGCGCCTTCCCTTTTATATCCGCCCATCATAGTACCCAAAATCAAGCCCATCATACCAGTCCCCAAAGAGTCAAGGTTTACACTCCCCCTCTGACGTCGATTAATCCCCCAAACAACCAATCAATCAATCAGTCCAAGTAAAAGGCAACCACGCAACAATCCGAGCAATCACCCTACCAATCAACCAACCAGCCCAAGAAAGCATTCCAACCAAGCAACCAATAAGCACCCGATCAGCAGCAATCAGTCAATAAAGAAGAGCAAGTGTCCCTTCCAACAGCCCAAGTGCAAGTCTCCCGACTAGCACCCAATCTCGCCGCCGGGCAGGTCAACTATTCCAGCACACCTGAGCAGCTCCGCCGTTCGGCAGCAGAGCCGTCCAGCAAGCGGGTAACCGAGCATCAACGCAATCAAGACACCTCAACCGATCAATCCATCAATCAAGCAATCAAGCAATCAAGCAATCAAGTCAGCTAGCGATCAAGCCACCAAGCCACCAACCGATCAAACGATCGAGCGGTCGAGCAATCCATCGATCGTACAACCGAGCTGGGAGGCAATCAAACAATCAAGCAATCAAAAACAGCGATCGTGCAACGGAGCTATGAGGCAATCAAACAATCAATCAAACAGACAATCAAGCAAGCAATCAAACAGAGATCGTGCAACCGAGCTATGAGGCAATCAAACAATCAATCAAACAGCGATCGTGCAACCGAGCTACGAGGCAATCAAACAATCAAGCAAGCAATCAAACAGCGATCGTGCAACCGAGCTATGAGGCAATCAAACAATCAAACAAGCAAGCAAGCAATCAAACAAATAAGCAAGCAATCAAACAATCAAACAATCAATCAAGCAATCAAGCGATCAATCGATCGACCAATCTAGCAACCAAGCAACCAAGCAATTAAACGATCACGTCATCAATCAATCAAGCAATCAAGCAATGAGAGCAAAACCGAACAAACCGAAGGTATCACGACCTGCGTAATAGTATATTTCCGCGATCGTCGATCCGCTCTGCAATTGGACATCCGTCCTACCGTCTTCCCCCGAACATAACGCTCCCTCATTTCGGCTGTACCTGACCCGAAATATAGCTTGTATACATCCATTCTCAGGGTGCGTTATGTTCGAGGGAAGGCAGTAGTACCGCCGATAGACTGATAAACACAATAACAAGTTTTCAATATCGACTACACTAACCTGCCAAGATCTATTCCCAGTGGATCGCCAGATGGACCTTTATCCAAATACCTTTCTCCTCTACCGCATACAAATTGGTGGGGATTTTGCTGCAATTGAGTCGATGATGATAGCGATGCGCGCCCGACGAGTTGCCCTTGCTTGTCAATCAATCGAGCAAGATCTACCAACACCGTCTTCTCTCTCCTCTCCAGAACCCTTCCCAAGATCCATTGAAGCCGCGTGATAACTTGCCCTTTGTAATAATACAGATGAATACACAGATTTTGGCCCCCTTTTCTTTGCTTCCAGATGTCCGAGAATCTTTGCCCCAACCAACGCATCGAAACAGTGATTCCGATTCTCCTTCGATTAGACGTGCAGACAACAGTCCCGCCGAATGAAACAAACATGCTGCGAGTGTCATCGATCCATTTCTTTTCAAGCAACACGCGCTGGCCTTCTTCACCTATCATAAATATACACCCACTCCGTACATTGATTGGCCTTCTTCGTCGTCTTCATCCGGAATAAAAACACCCACTCACTCCATGGATTGATTAACTTTCAGCATCTGTCATTAAAACACCCACTCCGATGATTGATAGGCCACCTTCATATATGTCATAAAAGCGCCCGATCTCGAAAGATCTGCCCCGCCTTCCTCCTTCCTTCATTCCCCACCGCACTCTCCTCCTTCTGGGGAATTGCTACAGCAGCCAATCGTAAGGCGTTACCGCTTCTTGTACCTTGTCATAACGACGGAAGCCTGTCGCTTTGCCACACAGGCAACGCCACACCTGTGCGACGGACTGCGGGCTCACCCGCCCAATCACTCCTCTGGGATGTTGTTGTCATCTAATAGACATTCCTCTCCGGTGTGATGCTCTGCCAATATGTGTGGACAGGTCGACACTACATCACCCATCCCAGCCGACGACGGTGCCACAGAGGAGAGACAAGGTCGACTACCACCCTTGATGAGAGAGAGAGAGAGAGAGGACAAGCCCATCGACTCCACTGTCGCTGTAGCATCGGGGTCGGAAGCTGTCCACCCGTCTTGGGGTGGCGCCTTGCTCGTATTGCCAAAGAGACAGCAGTAAAGTACCTGGCAAGAGCATTCAAAGGTGCTCAATAGGGGAATGCCAAGATTTAAATGTTTATATGAAGGTGTCCACCCGTCTACGGGTGGCGCCTTGCTCGTCTTGGGGTGGGGCCTTGCTCAATCGGGGAATTGTATCGGACGAGTAAAACATAAAACAGAGAGGTAGAGAGAAAATGAAAGCAAAGAAAAAGCATATAGATTGGAGAAGAATCAATCATAAGAGGGGAGCAACAAGACCAAGGCAACAAGACAAAGGCAACAAGACAAATGCAAAAAAACAGGCAGAGAGTGGTGTCCAGAGGAAGTGGGGGAAGGGGAGGGAGAGAGGGAGAGGGAGAGGGAAAAAGTCGGATGTTGCGCGCGCAAGAGCGATATAGAGATGCAGAGACAGATGACAGAGGAAAGGGGAGCAGAGAGGACAGTTTTTGTTATGAAGGTGGAAATGGGAGAGTCAGGTTGACAGAGGGGTAGAGAGAGGTAGAAAGACCGGTAAAGAGAATTACAGAAAGATCGAGAGGGTGAGCGACGGACAGACACGGTTGGAGACAGGTAGGAAAAGCTGGTAGTATGGACAAACCGGTGGAGATTATTAGCAAAAAGGCAGGTAGAGAGAGAACGCGAGGAGGAGGAGGTAGAGGGGCGTCGAGAGAGGCATAGAGAGACAGAGAGAGAGCTTAGGTAGAAGAAGAAAGAGGTAAAGATTGAAGGAAAGGACATGAGAACTGCAGAGTGATAGAAACGTGTGAGGGGAGATAGGAGGTCTTATTAATGACAGCAGAGCGAAAGGTACAACTGTAACTGAACAGTTAACGGTATGGACGATGAACCGCAAGAGTAAGAGAACCATGCCTGTAGAGAGACGAAGAGGCATAAGACGGAAAGAGGGCAAGGAGGAGGCGACAAACAAAAAGAGAAGACAAGAGCGGACATGCGAGCGACTTCAGACAGCACTGAGAGGGCATTTTGGAGAACTGCAGGAGAAGGACAATCGAAGGCGGGCGGGTAGAAAGGAAGGAAGGAGACGAGATCCGGCGGGGCATCCGCCAAACAAGCCTAAGCGATCGTCCATCCACCAAACTGAATTGGCAAAATAAGGAATGGAGATGCACCCTCCTATGATCAAGGGAGAAACATGATTTAGACAACGACTCAGAGATAGGAGAAGAGATGAGGAGAAGAGAAGAGGAGAAGAGAAGAGGAGAAGAGAAGAGAGGGGAAGAGTAAAGAAGAGGAAGAGGGTGTTAAGAGAGGACGAAGGCGATGTGAGGAGCGAAACGAGCCCTGAGATGGCATACAGCCATGACAGGGGGGGAGACAGCAAGTGAGATACAGAGCGAAAAAGGAGACAGCGGAAGGCAAAGAGGAGAGATCGGAGTGCATTAGTGACTGTATCTGGAAGTGACTTTTGGGTCCAAAGCCAACGGGTGCCTGCGTCGCTCAAGAGCACGCATACAGAGCGGGAGGCGGGCAACATGGTAGCCAACGAAGGAAAGGACGGACAATCGAAGGACAAGGAACAAGCATTACAACGATGAAAAGAAAAAAGAAGGAGAAAGAGAGAGCGAAATGAGAGAGGGGGAGAGAGAGATTCAGAAACGGAGCACCGAAGACAGATCGCACGGGATGCACACGGGAGTCGATGTCCCGTTATCCTCACGCGACCGTCCAATATGTTCCTGACACTGGACGATTGTCGACTATGGCCCAGATACTGAATAGAACGTTAAAAAGAGG